GACTGGTGAAATTGAGCATACTTGTCCACTTCTTAGAGGAAACAGAGGTATGCTCTTTTTACATCTAATTTAACAAGAATTTTTTTTTTTTTTTTTGAGACAGAGTCTCACTTTTGTTGCCTAGACTGGTGTGCAGTGGCATGATCTCTGCTCATTGGGACCTCTGCCTCCCAGGTTCAAGGGATTCTCCTGTCTCAGCCTCCTGAATAGCTGGGGTTACAGGTGCACACCACCGTGCTTAGCTATTTTTAGTTTGTTTGTTTTGTAAGACTGGATTTTCACAGCCAATAAGTTTTTATCATGAGACATTGTTGTTTTATTTTTTATTACATTTAATTTTTGTGGGTACATAGTTGGTGTATATATTTATGGGGTACATAAGATGTTTTGATTCAGGCATGCAATGTGAGATAAGAACATCATGGAGAATGGGATATACATCACCTCAAGAATTTACACAGGTATTGATCGACTTACAACCTATGCAACTTACCACCATTTGACTTTACGACCACAATTGCTAGCCATGACTGCTCCATGTCTGGCAGCACAAACGTTGCCCAGCTGGGCATATGACAGTGTGGACCAGCTTCCGGCAGAACCACCATCTCTGCGTGCACCATTTCAACTGTTATCCCAGACTTGGTACAGCAATTTGTGTTTTGTACATGTTTATATATTTTGATATGTTTTGCAATTGGGAAAATGTTTCCCATGGTATTTTTTACACGTGTATTTTGTATTTTTGTATGCACCTGTATTTTGTAATTTTGTATGTTTTGCAAATATTAAACCAGTTGTACTGGCAATGTAGTGTTTTACTTAAACCTGATGAATGTAAAAATAAGAAACAAAATGGTGTAGAGATGATACAAATGGCATAAAATGAACAAAGAAAATTATGATATATAACAATAATGAAAGAAAATTATGATGAAATATGACTTAAATATTTTTATAACATCATTTCACAGTACTGTACATATAGCCTACTCAACTTACGACCAAATTGTGTTACGACCCGTCTGTTGGAACCAATCGTGGTCATAAGTGGAGCACTAGCTGTACTGTACTTTGAATTACAAACAAACCAATTATTATTTTTAAGTTATCTTAAAATGTACAATTAAGCTATTATTTACTGTAGTCACTCAGTTGTGCTATCAAACAGTAGGTCTTATACATTCATTCTAACAAAATTTTTGGACACATTTACTATCCCCACTCTCTTCCAGCCCCTCCAGTACCCTTGCCAGCCTCTGGTAACCATTCTTTTACTCTCTATGCCCATTAATTCATTTTTTTAAATTAGATTCCATAAATAAGTAGTAACATGTGATGTTTGTCTTTCTCTGGCATATTTCACTTAACATAATGATCTCCAGTTTCATCCATATTGTTGCAATGGCTGGATCTCATTTTTTATGACTAAATAGTACTCCATTGTGTATATGTACCATATTTTCTTTGTCCACTTGCCTGTTGATGGACACTTAAGTTGCTTCCAAATCTTAGCTATTGTACGTAGTTCTGCAACAAACAGAAATGTAGATATATTTTTGATACACTAATTTTCTTTCTTTTGGATGTTAGCCCCAGAATTGCTGGATTATATGGTATTTCAATTTGTAATTTTTTGAGGAACCTATAAACTGTTCTACATAGTGGTTGTGCTAATATACATTTCCACTGACAGTGCACAGGGTTTTCTTTCCTCTACATCTTATCCAGCACTTGTTTTTGCCTATCTGTTGGATATAAGCCATTTTAACTGGGGTAAGGTAATATATCACTGTAGTTTTGATTTGTATTTCTCTGACAATCAATGATGTTGAGCACCTTTTCATATGTTTGTTTCCATGTAAATGTCTTCTTTTGAGACATACTCAAATCTCTTACCCATTTTTAAAATCAGATTATTAAACTCTTTTCCATAGAGTTGTTTGAGCTTTTTATATATTCTGGTTATTGTTCCCCTGCCAGATGGGTAGTTTGCAAATAGTTGTTTTTTTTTTTTTTTTTTTTTTCATTCAGTGGGTTGATTTTTTACTCTGTTGCTTCTATTCTTCCTGTGCAGAAATTGATGAACTTGATGTGATCGCATTTGTCCATCTTTGTTTTGGCTGCTTGTATTTGTGGAGCATAGCTCAAGAAATCTCTGTTCAGACCAATGTCCTGGAGGTTTTCCGTAATATTTTCTTGTAGTATTTTCATAGATTGAAATTTTAGATTTGCATCTTTAATCAATTTTGATTTGATTTTTGTATATGGTGAAAGAAAAGGGTCAAGACTCCAGTTTCTCCAGCATCATTTATTGAAGAGTCTCTGTTTTGTAGCGTATGTTCTTGGCACCTTCATTTAAAATGAGTTCACTGTAAGTGACTGAATTTGTTTCTGGGTTCTCTATTCTCTTCCATTGGTCTATATGCCTGATTTTATGCTAATACTATACTATTTTGGTTACTACACCTTTGTAGTATAATTTGAAGTCAGTTTGTGTGATTCATTCAGTTTTGTTCTTTCTGATTAGGATAACTTTGGCTATTTTGGGTCTTTTGTGGTTCTGTATAAATTTTAGGATTATTTTTTTCTATTTCTGTGAAGAATGTCTTTGATATTTTGATAGGGATTGCACTGAATATACAGGTTGCTCTGAGTAGAACAGAAATTTTAACAATATTGATTATTTCAATTCTTAAACATAAAACATTTTTTCATATTTGATATTTTCTTCAACTTCTGTAATGGTGTTTTATAGTTTTTATTATAGAGAACCTTCACTGCTTTGGTAAATTGCTGGTTGTTTAATGTTATATATAGCTATTGTAATTGGAATTATTTTTTGAATTTCTTATTTAGATTGTTCATTGTTCTCATATAGAAGTACTGATTTTTGTATGGTGATTTTACATCCTGCAACTTTACTGAATTTTTTTTATCAGTTCTAATAGTTTTTTTTTTTTTCAGGCTTTAGGTTTTCCCAAATATGAGCTATATCGTCTGCAAACAAGGATTATTGGACTTCATTATTTTTCCAATTTGGATGACCTTTATATCTTTCTCTTGCCTAATTGCTCTAGCTAGGACTTCCTGTACGATGTTGAATAATAGTGGTGACAGTGAGCATCCTTGTCATGCTCCAGATTTTTGAGGAAAGGCTTTCAGTTTTTCCTTATTCAGTATGACACTAGTTGTGGATCTGTTATATAGAGGCTTTAATTATGATGATATATATTTTTTATCTCCAGTTTTTGAGGGGTTTTCTCATAAAGAAATGTTAAATTTTATCAAATGCTTTTTGGTATTAATTGTAATGATCATATGGTTTTTATCCTTCATTTGTATCACACTATTTTATTTTTATATGTTGAATCACCATTGTATCCCGTGGATAAACCCAACTTGGTCATAATGGATCACCTTTCTAAGTATTGTTGAATGCAGTTTGCTAACATTTTGTTGAGTGTTTTTGCATCAATATTGATTAGAGATATTGGCCTGTTGTTTTCCTGTTTCTTTTTTATGTGTCTTTGTCTGGTTTTGGTATCTGGGTAACAATGAACTTGTGGAATGAGTTTGGAAGTATTCCTTCTTTCTCTATTCTTTTGGAAGTGGTTGAGTAGGGTTAGTATTAGTTCTTCTTTAAGTGTTTGGTAGAAATCAGCAGTGAAGCTTTAAGTCCTGGGCTTTTCTTTACTGGGGGAATTTTATCATGGCTTTGATCTTGTTACTTGTTATTGATCTGTTAAAGTTCTGAATTTCTTCCTGGTTCAACTTTGGTAAGTTTTATATTCTGCATGTGTACCCCAGAACTTAAAGTATAATAATAAAAAAAAGAAAGATGCATTGTTATATTGTTTATTTGAACATTTTCCTCTTGTTTGATGTAGACACTTATAGCTACAAACTTGTATCTTAGTACTACTTTTGCTGTATCCCATAAGTTTCGTATGTTGTGTTTCCATTATCAAATGTTTCAAGAAACTTTTCAGTTTCTGTCTTAATTTCGTCATTGATCCACATGTCATTCTGGAGCATATTGTTTAATTTCCATGTATTTGTATAGTTTCCAAAATGCTTCCTGTTATTAATATCTAGTTTTATTTCCTTGTAGTAAGATATTTGATATTACTTCATTTTTTGAATGTTTTTAGACTTGTTTTGTGATCTAATGTGTAGTCTATTCTTGAGAATAATTTATGTGCTGAATAAAAGAATGTGTATTGTGCAGCCATTGGATAAAATGTTCTGTAAGCATCTATTACATCCATTTGGTTTATAGTTGAGACTAAGTCTGATTTTTTCAATTGATTTTCTATCTAGACGGTGTGTCCAATGCTGAAATTGGGGTGTTGAAGTCTCCAGCTATTATTTATCTCTCTTTTTAGCTCAATAATATTTCCTTTACATATCTCTGATAAAAGAAAATCTCAGTTAAATTAAATGGAAAAATATTTAATTGAGCAATGGATGATTCACAAATTGGACAGCCTTCTGAGCCAGAGTAGGCTCTGAGGTTGCAGTGCAGCCACAGATGGAAGAAGATTTATGGATAGAAAAAGAAAGCGACACACAGAAAATGGAAGTGAGGTACAGAAACAACTAGATTGGTTAAAGGTCGGCTTTTTCCTTATTTGAATAAAGTTTAAACAGTTGGCTACATTTGGTTGGCCAAAACTCACTGACTTGCACAAGAGTAGACTGCTGTCTCTTTATACCTCCACTTGTTATAGTTCATAACGACAATGTACAGAAAAACTTTTAGGCCAAACCTAAATATGTAAGGAGACAGCTTTAAGCTAAATCTAATTTAACATCTTGTAGGCACTGTGGATATTACTTTAAACTTTTAACATCATCATTTATTCCATAAACAAGAGAAAGCACTTTTAATGGTAGTGCTCTCTCTTGTTTATGGAATAAATGATGATGTTTATTTTTGTCTTTAACATTTTCTGTGGTTTTTAAATTTTGTATAATGATTGGTGTATATTTTACAGCCATAGAAATGTTATTAAAAAGAAAATATTATGAAGAAAATAAATAGAAAGGAGATCATGGGATCTGTCTGATCTTCTTTTCCCGTGTAATCAAGAAAGCCTGGGAAGAGAATTATTAGAGGTAAGTTCCAGGAAATGTCCCTAGACGCAAACCCCAGATGCAGATGAAGGACATTCTTGTCAAGTGAAATATACTTGTTGCAACTGTAGGTGTTCTTCAAAAACAAAGGGTGGGAGGAAGAGATGGCTTTATCAGTGGAGCAATACTGCCACCAAAAGAAAAATATTGAAGAAATATCCATGACAAGAGAGAGAAAAAGAGAGTGAGAGAAGACTAGAAGAGAAAATTGGGAGGTTATGACACCAAAAGCCTCAAAGTAAAGGGACGAAGAAAAATCTTTCAAGAAAGTGGAAAATAGAAAAAAAGCAGGTGTTATCATTCTTATTTTAGAAAAAAAATCAGACTTTAAAACAACAAAAATTAAATAAGACAAAGAAAAACATTATATAAGAGTAAAAGGCAGTTTTCCCCTCACAGTGTAAACAAAGCCACCTGGGTGAGATGACACCACACCCTTCTGCTCAGGAAGGTTTCATATGTAGAGTACCTGATATTCTGCTTTAGCTGACATCACTCATCAGTGATCCTAAGGAAAGCAGTCTTACCCCTTAGTTGCCACTAATAAAATAGATATGGCTGGCCCCGTCTTGAGACATTTAAGAAGTTGGAAGGAGGCAGATCTCTGAGGGGCTGGGAATTCTCACTAGAAAAAATAAAAGACCATATGGCAAAGGGATGGGATGATGGGATTTGCTAAACATATAGATTAAAATCAAGATCTCTGGGGGAGGTTGCAGAATATTGAGTTGTCAAATTGTGTTTCATGGAGTGCTAGGGTTTCAGTGAAAGTGGCACAGACAACTCATTTAAATAGTGTCTCATTTTTAAAATCTATTGAGTATCTACACGTAATTTTGTTTGAAGAATAAAGTGATATCAAAACCACTAGCCTAGATTACCACCTAGTTTTTTGTGCTTAATTTTATGTTTACAGGGTCATAACGTGTGGGAGATTCAACTTGGTCTATGGGACTAGGATTGGAGCATTTATTTGCTTCACTTGCTCCTTTCCCCACAACTAGATGAAATCAGGAAACCTTGAGGGTTATTCACCTTGTGGAATAGACTATACATTTTGGGGTACTCAGGAAGTAAGAAATGGGTTCCAATTATGACATTAGAGTTTCCATTAGCACCACTGGAAATTCAAAGCTCACTTCCTTATGTATTCCAATTTCTCACAGGGGTTGTTGTGAGAAGTTACAATAGGTATAATAAAGAAGAAAGGCCTGAGTATTTTAAGCAGTGGAATGACATATAAAGATTCTATTTTTATGTAATTAAATATTTTTAAATATCATCTTCGTAAATGAAACAGTTAAAAATAATAGTTTAATTCTTAAAAAAGTAAATAATGAGGGACAGCCCTACCAAATATTTAAACATAAATCCATGGTAACTGATATAAGTACAGAAATAGTCTGACAGAACCCTGGGACAGAACGTATTAGTCCATTTTTGTACTGCTATACAGATACTACCTGAGACTGGGTAATTTATAAAACAAAGAGGTTTTTGTTTTGTTTTGTTTTGGCTTTTTTGAGACCGAGTTTCCCTCTTGTTACCCAGACCGGAGTGCAATGGCAGGATCTCGGTTCACCGCAACCTCTGCCTCCTGGGTTGAGGCAATTCTCCTGCCTCAGACTCCTGAGTAGCTGGGATTACAGGCACGTGCCACCATGCCCAGCTAATTTTTTGTATTTTTAGTAGAGACGGGGTTTCACCATGTTGACCAAGATGGTCTTAATCTCTTGACCTCGTGATCCACCCGCCTTGGCCTCCCAAAGTGCTGGGATTACAGGTGTGAGCCACTGCGCCCGGCAACAAAGAGTTTTTATTGACTCACAGCTCTGTATGGCTGTGGAGGCCTCAGGAAAGTTATAATTATGGCAGAAGGCAAACCAGAAGCAAGCTCCTTTTTCACATAGTGGCAATAAAGAGAAAAAGAGGGAGTAAAAGGAAATTGCCACACTTCACAACCATCAGATCCCATAAAAACTCCCTCACTATTACGAGAACAGCATGGGAGAAACTGCCCTCATGATCCAATCACCTTCCACCAGGAATACTTTAAATATATAAAATAAAAATCCAGAGGTATTAAAAGTAAATGTTGATAAGGATTTTAAAAATTATGGTTTGGGGAAAGGTTTTTTTTCCCCTAAATATGGCATAAAAGCCACAAACTAATAAAAATGATGGAGAGATTTGACTATATCAACATTGTAAAACATTTTAAAAGTACATAATGAATAACAAGAACTATAAAATATAGCAAACCGATTAAAATACATACAAAACGCTGAAAATTGTAACATACACAAAAAACAATGGTAAATATATCTAGTATAAAATAGCTATTGCTAATTAATTAAATAGTTGCTGATCACTCCTCTATCAGTTAACTTACACTAAATTATACTAGAATTTTTAAAAAGCCTGAAAATATTTGCAGTTTATCACCACAGATGTTTATTTACTTCTCAGGCTACATGTCTTTATCAGATCACCTGTGGCCCTGCTGTCTGTCATCTACCCTTTAAAATTCTAGCTGAAAGAGCAGCCTCTGTCTAGGACATTACTAATCTTGTGGCAGAGAAAAGTTGGTGAATTATACAAGGTTTTTTAAACCTTTCTTAAAAGTCCCACATTTCATATCCACATGCATTTCATTGGCCATAGTAGTCACACAGCCAAGTCTGATATCTGTGAGACAAGAGTATAAGCTTATTCTGGGGAAAAGTTTCATTGAGAAGAATAGAAAGTATTTTAAACAAAAATACAAACTATATGAACTCTGTAGAAAAATATACAAAGAACACAATTGTCAAATACTTTCTTAAAAGCTCAATTTTGTCACACAAATTCAAACAATGACCACCTGTCATATTGAAGCTAAGCAAAAAAAAATTTTTCAGTTTTTTTGTTATTTCTTTTTTCTTTTCCAGAATTTATTTTATTTTTTTAAATTATACTTTAAGTTCTGGAGTACATGTGCAGAATGTGCAGGTTTGTTACATACATATACAGATGTCATAGTGGTTTGCTGCATACATTACCCTGTCATCTACATTAGGTGTTTCTCTTTTTTTTTTATTGCATTTTAGGTTTGGGGGTACATGTGAAGAACATGCAAGATTGTTGCATAGGTACACACATGGCAGTGTGGTTTGTTGCCTTCCTTCCCCTCACTTGTATCTGTCATTTCTCCCCATGCTACCTCTTCCCACCTCCCCACCTCCCCGTCCCTCCCCCATTTCCCTCCAACGGACCCCAGCGTGTAGTGCTCCCCTTCCTGTGTCCATGTGTTCTCATTGTTCAACACACGCCTATGAGTGAGAACATGCGGTGTTTGATTTTCTGCTCTTGTGTCAGTTTGCTGAGAATGATGCTTCTTATATTTTATACAAAAATTAAGTCAAGATGGATTAAAGATTTAAATGTAAGATTTAAAACCATAAAACCCTAGAAGAAAACCTAGGCAATAACATTCAAGACATAGGCATGGGCAAAACTAAAACACCAAAAGGGAAGGGTTGGCAGGGTGGTGAGGGGAGAGGAGAGAGATAGTATTAAGAGAAATACCTAATGACATAGATCCAAAGACTCACCTTACATTTAAATCTTTAATCCATCTTGACTTAATTTTTGTATAAAATATAAGAGAAGGATCCAGTTTCAGCTTTCTGCCTATGGCTAGCCAGTTTTCCCAATGCCATGTATTAAATAGGGAATCCTTTCCCCATTGCTTGCTTTTGTCAGATTTGTTAAAGATCACATGCTTATAGATATGTGGTGTTATTTCTGAGGAATCTGTTCCATTCCACTGGTCTACATATATGTTTTGGTACAAGTACCATGCTGTTTTTGATTACTGTAGCCTTGTAGTATAGTTTGAAGTGAGGTAGTGTAATGCCTCCAGCTTTATTCTTTTTGTTTAGGAATGTCTTGGCTATGCAGACTCCTTTTTGATTCCATGTGAAATTTAACATTTTTTTCCAATTCTGTGAGGAAAGTCAATGGTAGCTTGATGAGGATAGCACTGAATCTATAAATTACTTTGGGCAGCATGGCCATTTTCATGATATTGATTTTCCCTATCCATGAGCACAGAATGTTTTTCCATTTGTTTGTGTCCTCTCTTATTTTCTTTAGTAGAAGTTTGTACTTGTCCTTGAAGAGACCCTTCCCATCCCTTGTAAGAGAGTTCACTCATTATTTGGGTGTTTGTCTATTATTGATGTATAGGAATGTTTGTGATTTTTGCACATTGATTTTGTATCCTGAGATTTTACTAAAGTTGAATATCAGCTTAAAAATATTTTGGGTTGAGACAACAGGGTTTTCTAAATATACAATCATGTCATCTAGAAACAGAGACAATTTTACTTTCTCTTTTCTTAATTGAATATCCTTTATTTTTTTCCCTTGACTGACTGCCCTGGCCAGAACTTCCAATACTATGTTGAATAGAAGTGGTGAGAGAAAGCATCCTTGTCTTGTGTAGTTTTCAAAGGTAACGCTTCCAATTTTTGCTTATTGAGTATGATATTTGCTGTGAGTTTGTTATAAACATATATTCTTGAAAGCACCACCTCCTATCTAGAGGCCAAGCCACACAAAACCCTTGTAATTAACAAAAATACAACCAAGGACTATCAAAGAGTCCACTTCACTCTCCTGCTACCTTTACTGAAGCAGTTGTTGGTATCTGTGGCTGAGAGACCTGAAGATGAATCACATCACAGAACTCTACAGACACTCCCTAGTACCATCCTGGAGCCTGGTAGCTCCACTGAGTGCCTAGATTCAAAAAAGAAATAACAGTCACTGAAATTCTGCTCTCAGGAAGCCCTATCTTTAGGGAAAAGGGAATAATGCCACGTGAAGTAAGCAGCTTATGAGACAAAGGAATCTGAACAGTCTTGAGTGACAGATCTTCTTTCTGACATATTCTATTCAAATAAAAAAAAAAAATCCAGAAATGCAATTCTGGTAATA